AGGAATTATTTCATATCAGAAAGTTACAATCAATATATTTTTACTTATCAATTGAGATTTTACGCGACGAATCGTTTTTGTTATGAAATAATTATTGCAATTAAATGACCGGCACCAGAGCAATGTGACTTGTGTTCAGAGGTGAAATACCAGTATAAACGAAACCATCAAAATAAAGTCATTTTAGTAATGACAAATGGCCCGACTCAAAAATAGTGAATTAATTTAGGTGGGTATATACTAACTTTAGATATTATTTTATGCCCGAATTAATGTAGAATTCAAGTTTGAAGTTTTGTACCGAACATGAAGATAGGTTCATGAGTTTGATAATAGATGGCGCCACTCTACATAATTCAAAGTGTTTATATTACAATTGGATAAGTTATGATAGCACAGTAATATCACAGCTATTACACAGTTGGTTTAATATATTAAATTTTTTATGGTTTAATATTAAAAAGTAAAAACTCGCTAGTTAAATATATTTATATTAGATATGCATAAAGTTATACTTACACCACGAGATTCAATCTCGCGTGGTATGTTGAGGTCACGATCAATTTTCCACTCTCGAAATCTTAAAAAAAAATGCTGTCTAAATTCAAACACATTAAAATACAATTTTTGGCATTGAAAATTTTAATTTACATATAAAATAAGCTGGTATGAAGCAACCATAAACTTCAAACATACTACAATGTTCCAATTTGTCTATTTTGACCACTTGATGACCGTGTTTCAAGCTCAGCTTCTTGTCATTACCAAAACAATCATAAAGTATGCTCTTACCCTTGACAACTTCGCTCAAATCAAATTTTAGTTGTAATATTATATTAAGCTCCATATGTTTCAACTTCTTGATATTTATTATGCAAAATCTCTGAATGCCAAAAGTATTAAGTGGACAGCATCTTCGCGAAAGAAGTTCAAGCCCCCCTCCGGTAATTTAGCGATAAATTTTGGGGCGTATAGCGCTAAACGTTGGGGTTCGATCCCTGCTGCGGATAACCCGTTATATAGATTTGTGTATAAAACAAACCAGAAGAAGGCTTAAACAGTCATGTTTTATATCTAATTATTATTTCAAACCTTTGTGATTAAACAATATACAAGGTGTTGCAAAAGTGGCGCCCCATAGCGACTGTAAATAACAATAAAACTAAAGTATGATCTTTTTGTTTATAATTAAAGTAAATGTTCGATCTGCTGGCCCTTAACTTCGAATCACTGCATATCAAATTAAAATAAAACTATACAATGTTAAATAAAATAAGTGCAATAATAATAACATGAAAGAAGTAACTGTTGTTCTCATATTTAGAATATTTTTTGAAAAAAAAGAAGAAAAAGGATAACAGGAAAGATGTAGTTCTTACTTCTGAAAACAGAATACTGTTAACTGCTTCATAGAGTTAGGCTTAACACTGTTAACGGCTTCACAGAGTTAGGCTTAACACTGTTAACGGCTTCACAGAGTTAGGCTTAACACTGTTAACGGCTTCACAGAGTTAGGCTTAGTCTTATGAAAGTATTGAAATGAACCATTTCCTTTGAATTTCGTTTGTCAGTTGTATAAAATTAAAAAAAATTACAGACCGAAACTGAGTGAAGTGATTACACAATCTAGTTTTCTGTGAAATACAGGAAATTATCATGTCTAATGTCAGATTAATGATTACACCTCACATTTGTTTTCCTTTTCTACTGAAACAAGTTTTAATAAATCGACAGTTTGGGTTCCTACTCCATAGAGAGGGTAACGTCTTTCTATTTAACTCCTTTACAGTTTCCATATACTTATTTCACCCAAGACATTAGCCTTGATTTTTTTTAGAAGTATGAAATACTGAATTAATTACGAACCCACGCTTACTTATTTTATTTATTGTTGGCTTTTTTTCTGAAAGAACGGTGGAAAACGGAGAGTAATTAGGGATACAAGTGGACTGAATGAAAAAACAACAACAACGCTGAAATAAGCTCAATAATCATACTTTTTGTAATACTTTAAGCCACATCTGATATTTTTATTTCCCTTGAGATAGGATCATACATGTTACGTGAAAGTTATGTTATTAATTTCAAGTATTTTGACTGAAATTAATCGTGGTAGTATTTAGTATTCGTGCCCTTCTTTGTTGTAATGTTGTTATTTAACTCTGCCATGAAAACTGTTTTCTTTCATGTTTGTAGCTAAGCACAGAGCAACGCAATGCGCTATCTGTGCTGTGTCCACCACGGGTATTGAAACCCGGTTTCTAGTAGTGTTAAGTCCACAGACTTAACGCTGTACCACTGGGGGGGGGGGGAGCATAATTATTTGCTTCCAATACCGCTCTAGTTTTAGATAAATAACGAAATAATAAAACGTGTATAGTCTCGATGTTTTTTGTTTTTTTTATTCTTGTTATTAAGCACAAAGCTACACAAAGGGCTATCTGCCCACCACGGGTATCGAATCCCGGTTTCTAGTGGTATAAGTCTGCAGGCTTGCCACTGGGAGGGGCATGTTTTTGAAATTATGTATCTAAGAAAAATATACCCAGTACGGATTGGTGCTCATCTATAAAGAAAGCAGTTAACGAGTCAAGTTCGTTATGTTTTTCTTATCTGGCTTTATGTATTGAGGCATATTAAACGAATGCTTTTTTATCTTAATCCCCAAACCCCCAACTAGGATTAGTTTGTTCCAAAGTTCTTTAGTTTACACTCTGCTGGATGTCTTAGACAGCAGTTAATACAATTGTAAGGAAATAATTAAATTTTAAACCTATTCAATTCGGATATCAAACTGCACACAAATATGATCAATAGATGTTTACCCTCGAGCGATCAAAGAACAAAGTCCTCGCATGCCAATAGTCATCACCCTATCCACCCAGCCTCCCATCGCCATGAACTTTTCCATGATCATTCTGGAAAAAAAAGAAACGTTGGTGATCAGTTTTCATATTTAGTTTCGTTTCTAATTGATATTCTAAGGGAGCATTAATGAATTCGAAATAACTACGAACCTTCGCTTGTATATATGCGAGATTTAATTAGTTAACTTTGCAAATGAGTCACTTCTTGTTATATATAATATTTTGCTTTCTATCTTAAGATTTGAATTCCATATATTTCCAATCACTGTCATACGTATCAATAATTTGATAAAATAATTCTACGGTTATTTTATAACATCGAAAACATAGTATTTATCATATTCACTGTATTTATCAGTTTTTATTGTATAAATAAGTGATGAGCTTAATAGAATTATGTTTGTATACACCAAAACAACCGAAAATAATCACTTTCTTAAAACGTGCACATTTTTGGTTGCTGCTGAAATTTGAATAGCATGGGCTTTGGAAATAAATATTGTTGATACTCGGCATCAGCTTGAAACGAACAATTAAAGCACGTATTGTTGATACTCGGCATCAGCTTGAAACGAACAGTTAAAGCACGTATTGTTGATACTCAGTATCAGCTTGAAACGAACAATTAAGGCACGTATTGTT